CATTAGATGTTTCACCCATATCTTTCATTTCAAAATTATTAAAGAGATATTTCTTTACATCATGTAACATAGCAACATTATTAGCAACAAGCAAAATATCATCAACATATAATACTAAAATTTCAAATCTACTCTCATTGACCTTCATATAGATACACCAATCTAGTATTCTCTACAAAACCATACAACGTAATGGTATTATTAAATTTAAGATACCATTGTCTGGAAGCCTATTTTATTTGATATATTGACTTCTTTAATTTACACACCATATTTTCCTTTCATATGGAAATATATCCTTCGGATTGGCTCATATAGATCTCTTCCTCTAAGTCACCATTTAGAAAAGCAATCTTTACATCCATCTGGTGAAGCTCTAAATCATAATGAGTCACCAAAGCCAACACAATTCTTAAAGAGTCTTTCTTAGAAATTGGAGAGAATGTCTCTTTATAGTCAATGTCATCCTTTTGAGTGAAACCTTTGGCAACGAGTCTAGCTTTATACTTTTCAATGTTGCCTTTTGAGTCATGTTTGGTCTTAAAGACCCATTTACAACCAACTCGTTTTGAACCTTTAGGCAATTCAACTAGATCCCATACTTCATTGTCATCCATTGATTTTTTTCTTTCATTGCATTATAATTATCCATCAATTTTAATTAATAAAACAAAGTATCAAAAATTAAATTACGACACAAACTTAAATTATAATTTTTGATAATTTATTTAAAAAGTATTAAATTAATTTAAAAATATATATTATAAATATGGATTGAAATAAATAATAAATTAAAAAAAAAACATATACTATAATAAAAAAAAGTCTAAAAATTGAATAATAAAAAAGAAAAATCCAATTTTTTTTTGTACGAAATAGCTATTGATATTAATTAGTTATATAGGAGTGCATATAAATTTTTTATTATAAATTATCGTCTTGTTTTTAAAAAAAAATAAAATTTATATTTACCACCAATATTATAATCATTTTTAACCAATTTATATTATTTTTTAAAATTTTTATTTAGTGACCGAATATAATTCGGTGACTAAGTTTAAATAATATTTTACATAATCAAATAAAAAAAAAGTCCAAATATTTTGCAGATTCGACGATTTCGGTTTGAAGAAGTCACGCATTCGCGATAATTTAGCGTTTGGATGCCGGTATTTTGGATGAAATACTTTGAGAAAGAGAGTATGTTATGGTGGACTTGACCATGAATTACGAAATGAGGTTTGTGTATTGCATATGCGATGAGCTTTAGACTATAAGCATTTTGATTATGAATTGAAACATGTTCTTCATCTGATAAAGCTGATATATAAATGATAGGTTTGGGGTTTGCTTTTGGGATATTATTCATATGAATCGACATATTGTAACAAGCATAAGGCTAAGGAGGGGAATCATCCCTCAAAAGCCGGCCCAGGAGGTTCCTTATAAGGCCTCCTTGGTAAGGAGACCTCTCCGATGTAGGACTTGTTACATTACCACCCCCTTCGAAAGCCAGTGTCCTCGATGGCTGCACTCCGCGGTACTTCACTCACCGGCACTTCACTCGACCTTCTTGCCGGTCAGAACCCTCCGATGGGAACCTTCCGTGGGTAGCCATTCTCGATTTGACTGGCTCTCAATGAAAGCACCATTTGTAACAAGCATAAGGCTAAGGAGGGGAACCATCCCTCAAAAGCCGACCTCGATGGTCGCACTCCACGGTACTTCACTCACCGGCACTTCACTCGACCTTCTTGCCGGTCAGAACCCTCCGATGGTCAGAACCTTCCGTGGGTAGCCATTCTCGATTTGGCTGGCTCTCAATGAGAGCACCATTTGTAACAAGTATAAGGCTAAGGAGGGGAACCATCCCTCAAAAGCCGACCTCGATGGTCGCACTCCACGGTACTTCACTCACCGGCACTTCACTTGACCTTCTTGCCGGTCAGAACCCTCCGATGGTCAGAACCTTTTGTGGGTAGCCCTTCTCGATTTGACTGGCTCTCAATGAAAACACTATTTGTAATAACAAGCATAAGGCTAAGGAGGGGAACCATCCCTCAAAAGCCGACCCAAGAGGTTGAAGAACCTCCCGCCTTATAAGACCTCCTTGATAAGGAGACCTCCCCGATGTGGACTTGTTACAATAACCAAACTTAAAACTGTAAGTTAGCTTAAAATAATTTTCGTCAACTGCTTTTCACGCTAAATGGTATAAACTTGCGTTCTTATTAGTTTCAACTTGTTTTCAAACACAATAATACTATTTCGTTGTCTTGTTTAAAAATAATAATTACTCACTTTTTTTCTTACAAAACATTATTTTATTTTATTTTTTCACGAAAATACAAAGTAACTTTTTCTTGGTATAACATATATAATGGACATGTGTTATACAATGGAATAGGCTTAAAAAATGGACAGCCCCCATTGAACTATCAAGAACATATATTTCTCTTTTAATCTTTGGCATTCAGACATTAATGCATTGAATATTTCCGGAGAAAATGAAAAGACATTACGTTGAATATTCCACTAATTAAGAGCCATTCCGAGCATAAAACTCTCGCCCAAAACTGGTTTTATTTGTTTTATTATATATATAT